GGGCGAGCTCGCCGGCCTGGAAGGGGGGGCACGGCCGCGCGCAGTGCTGAGGGAGCTTCGAGGGCATGGGGTTTGGGGGTTCCTGGAAGGAGGGGCGGTGTCGGGCTGGAGAAGGGAAACGTGGGCGTCTCGAGGGAAGCGGAGGGGGGAGGTCCAGCCTGCGAGAAGACGCGAAGGCCGCCGCGGCGTGTGTGTGAAGGTGCGGGAGCAGGAGAGCGGAGGTGGGATGGGCGGCAGGTAGCAGCCGAGTGCGTGCCGGCGGGTGATGTGTGAGTGCGTGGGCCGGGGCCGTGGCCGTGGCTTGCCAGGCGCGGCTGTGCGTGCGCGCGCGCGCCCGGAATGTGGCATGTGTCAGGTATGTGTGTGGCATGTGTTTGGTATGTGTGTGCGCGTGCTCTGTGTGGCCGATCGAAAAGCTGGAAGGTGAACGGGGAGCCTCCGTGGGGGGGGGTGGGCAGCTGACGGAGGGCGGAAGGAGGCTGAACGTAGCGGACAATGGGAACGTGGCGAGATGAGAAGGTAACACAGCATTTTAGTCTGTAGCGGGAGAGAAAGGACTGGAAGCCAAAAAAAAAAAAAAAATTAAAAATGGAGGGAGGGAGAAGTGGGAGGATCCTGGGAAACAAAAGGGGTAGGGCTGTGAGGACTGCTGGGTGTGGGGATTTCAGGAAAAGCCAACCAGAGGGGAAATGGGGGTGGATGACTGCTGAGCCGTTGGAGGGGGGCAGGCTTGGAGGGCCTTAGGGATGAGGCTTTCTAAGCCTGGTTGCGGATCAGGATCACCTGATGCGCTTGAGCAAAAACACCGATTCCCGGCTTAATCGCAGCCACGGTGGGGGAGGTCCAGCAATCTGCATTTTAAGCGGCTCCCCCCAGGCGCATTTGAGAAGCGGCCAGGTTTGGAAAGTCGTGCCCTGTAGAATATTCCGGAGAGGGGGAGGAAGAGATTTTAGCTCCTCTAATATGGACTCCTAAAAACAGGGAGCTCAGGGAGTGTGTCCACATGGAGGGCCCTCTGCCCCACTGGTCTGGAGAGACGGAAGAGGATTTAGAAGGCGGTGATGTCCATCATCTCCACTCCTGCTTTGTTTTTTTACTCGCCCAGCCCAACTAATCAAAATCAGATGGGTTCAGGTTCTTCCGGAACTGGTCCCCTTAGCGGTTTTTCCTTGTCGCTGATTTAGAAGACCTGCTTTTTGTAGGCCATGTAACTGTCCAAAGAATTTGAGAACCACACCTTTGTTGTTGTCACTTTCCCTGTCACTTCCACTTTACATAATCATGTAAATAGCTGTCCGTCCTGAGCTACACCCATCAAGGTAGTCCAGCCGGGTACATGGGGCAACATCATAGGGTTGTAATTTGCAAAGTCATTGAGAGGAATGCAGGCCTGTGCACAGAAACACAAAACTCCGGGAGTCAGGCGACCAGAGTTCTAATCCTGGTTGGATTACTGACTAGCTGTGTGACCTGGTGCAAAGCATTGTTCTCTCTGGGCCTTAGTTGTCCCTCTGAAAAATGCTAAGGATGGCCCATTGTGAGATCTCCTCAGTCTCTGCTCGGCGGTATCATCCCGTGAGCCCATGAATATGTGAATCATGTGCCAATGATCGTTCATGTTACAGAGGATTCTTAAAAATTACTCATTCCAGTGCCCGTTATTCAATGCACAGCAGTTTTGTAGGTACTGGGAATACAGCTGTGAGCAAAACAGACACACATCTCCTCTCATGGAGCTTACATTCTAGTGAAGATACATTCGGGTGAATAATCTATATTCTCCAAAAACTTTTAGTGCTCCCCTTGAGCCATTTTTAAGTATTCTGTGACCATAATCTCTGAAGTAACGAGGTCCCTTGTTCTGGTCCCAAACCAGAACAGTTGGCCTATTTTCAAGTACTGGATGCTACCATATCCACTAGAAGTGTATATGCACACGCACACGCACACGCACACACATTTGTGAAAACTGTAATGGGGTTTTTTTTTAACCTTCATTAGTAGACATGATAGTATATAATGAAGATCGCAAACAACCAGTTTTCTTTAGAACTTTATTTGCATTTAAAAGTTGATCATAAATTTTGTCTAATTTGTAAAAAAAAAAAAAATTCTTAGGGGAATTGAGGTTTCCAGTGACCAGGCCATATGGAAATTTGATCTCTTCTCATACTTGGCATAGTGGTTACCTACAAACTTTAATGTCAGAGTTGCTATCCAATCTCCCTTGGGGAAACAATACATAGTTTAAAGTACACTGGCTTCTTTTCCTTTACTTGTGCAATATTTAAATAAGTCTAAACATCTACTTTAAGTACCTACAAATAATTCACCACTCTCTTAGACAAAAGTTCAGTATAATATATAATAACATTCTAATGTTTTATATAATTATTTGGAGATATTAATCCAGTCGTTTTTTTTTCCCATGAAAATCTAAGTATTTTGAGTCTTCAAGCTCATCAGTGACGGAGCCGATCTCCTCTGCTACCTCTTCTTTACTGACAGTGTAGATTATTTAACATGGGGATAGATTTCTGGACCACTGATACTCTTATCAAATGATTTTTGCTGCAAATGCCAGTCTCACAACCGAAGATCACTATAAGATACTTTTGACTCATTAAAACATATCAGAATACATTTCATAAGGAGATGTTCTCATTTTTGTCTTAGTACTTACTACCTTAAGGAGCCATAACTTTCACTGGTGTAGCCCAAATGCCTAGAACAGAGACAGGCTCTGGGTTCAACGTCCTGAAGTTGAATTCTGACCCTTGGATTTAGTATTATCTTGGATGATTTCCCACCACCACCACCCCATCCTGCCCCAGGAGATAATCATTCGTGGCTTTTTTATTAGCTATTGGAGAATCACAGGAAATGGATGATAACGTATAGCATATTGATTTGTAAAAGTCTGCTGACAACAGGTCCTTGGGGGGAGCCACTACATAATGATGAAAGTATCAACATCACTTCTGGTTTCCAAATGGAATTTGATACTGCAAAAGAGGGCTGTCTTTGTTGATGGGTAAGGAAGCCATTTTCTGTGTATGAACCACAGAGAAATTGACTGTCTAATAAAGAATTGGTCTTTGGTTTTGTTTGTTTTTTAAGAGGGGCCATACGGGGTCTTTGCTGGAAGAGACGCATCCCGGGGCCTTGCCACGTTTTGCCTGGATAAGGAAGCACTGAAGGACGAGTACGATGACCTTTCTGACCTCACTCCTGCCCAGCAGGAGACCCTGAGTGACTGGGACTCTCAGTTCACTTGTAAGCATTTTTTAAGAATTGTGCCTGGATCCAATTTCTACCAGTAATGGGATTCACAGCAGTACAATAGTTATTACTAAGCAGCCTGAAACTGGGGAGCATTTTGATAGGCTCCTGAATCTTGGACGGATCAAGTTCATGGCTTGAAGTAATTGCAACAATGCTGAGTCACTTGCTGTGATTGCATCCAATTTTTAGCTAGTTCTCTGTGGAAACTTGGGTTTCTGTTATTTAAATCTTTGACAGGTTCGCATAGATTCCACACTAGGATTTGGTGCTTGGTGTGTAGGGGAAAGAATCTGTAGGCTACAGAGAGGGACTTTCAGAAGTCCTCACTAGTAAGGCTTGCTGTTTAAAAGCAGCCCACATTTCTGTCGAAGAATGGGAGACTTGTGTTCTACAAAACAGCTTCTCTTTGAATCTAATTGAGCCTAACTGTAGGCCTCATCTACAAATGATGCTTATAATCTGCCCAGCAACAATGGTGTCTGCATTTTTAAAAAGAGAGAGAGAAAAAAAAAAAAGGAGCCGCTTGTTTCCTGGCTTATGCTATAAGGCTGAGGTCTTTGGGAGGAGGGGGCAGTGAGGATGGGGGTTAAGTTCAAATTTCGAGAATTGAGGAATTGGCTTTTGTCAAACCTAAGTGTCTAATGATCACTTTAGCAACATTGCACTGCTAAGAATTTGACTAATCTTTCCCAGCTTTAAAACAATATATAAAGACCATGACCAGCGCTTAAAAGATTTTTTTATTTTAAAAATGTATCCTTTCTATTTGTTGTTCTCTATAGCCAGTTAAATATTACTGACTCTTTTGGCTAAACCCAACCGTTTTCTTTGAAAATAATGCTGACTTCAGAGTTCTGGGCTAATTATTAGCCAGCTGTGGCTCTACCTTTAGGTTCTGGGTCCCAAGCAGACAGAAGTAGAGCTTTCAAGCCTAGAGCAGGTCTTTTTACTTGGAAAACATAATTCAGCTATCTAACATCACCCCTGATTTCTTTGGTATCCTAAGGATGCCTTTGTAAACATAGATTTTTCTATGTGGAACCAGCGAGTTGTAATTTCTAACTCCCAGAGCTCTGTCTCCTAGGGCTCGCCTTCCCCAAGGAGGCGAAAACTGTGTTAAAAACGTTCTGCCCCTTAAACTAAGACCAGCCCCCAATTCTGTGGTGACGCTGGAGCGCCACTCAAGACTGGCGTGGGAGCCCCTTGAAGCAGGTTGCCCGGGCGCCAGGCGGCCTGTGTTGTGGGGCCCGAGCACCCTAGGGGCCTTTATAACGTGTTCAAATGGGAAAGTTCCCATTGTTCCCGGCGATTATTCCACACAAAAGCAGGTCCACCTACCTGGTTAGACAGGTTGGTCACTCCTCTGATTCCTGCCCACACGCAGAAAGAGCAGAAAGAGGAGACTCTCCGGGCCTCGGACAGCGGTAGGATTAACCCTGCGTTAGCTGCGCTGCAAGGATGCGGCCGGCGGGATGGTGGTCTGCAGGCTCTCTCCCTTCTCACGTCTTTTTTTTTTTTTTAATTGTTTATTTACATTCAATTTCGTTAACCTATACTCTATTATTAGTTTGAGAGGTAGAGTTTAGTCATTCATCAGTTGCGTCTCACACCCAGTGCTCATTCCAGCACGTGCCCTCCTTCACGCCCGTCACCCAGTTACCCCAGCCCCGCGCCCCCTCCCCTCCGGCAAGCCTCCGTTTGTTCTCTACAGTTACCAGTCTCTTATGGTTTGCCTCCCTGTTTTCATCGTCTTTTATTTTTCCCTCCCTTCCCCTGTGTTCATCTGTTTTCTTAAATTCCACATATGAAATCATATGATACATGTCTTTCTCTGACTGACTTATTTTGCTCAGCACGATACCCTCTGGTTGCATCCACGTCACTGCAAATGGCAAGGTTTCTTTCATTCTTCCTGATGGCTGGGTTTCTGGTTTGCACTCTTAAATCTGTATTCTCCAACATCTCCCGTGCTCTCCTGGCCTCCTTAACCACTCGCTTGAACTGCTAGGCATAGCTTTTTCCTTGTGTTGGGAAAAAATTTGGTCTCCTGCTTCCCTCCATCCACCAGACTCCTCATCCCTTCCCTTCACTGTCAACCGCCTGCGAAGTGCTTGTCCCTAACCACTGCTTCATTTCCTCCCCACACCTCCTTACCCCCTGCGACAGTGTCCAGCCCAGTTCCACTGGGCTTCTCTTTCTCGGAGCTTTCCAGAGACCTGCTTCTTGCCAGCATTGACTTCACTTCTCCAGCCCTTGTTGTGGATTTCCTGTCGGGTGCCCTCCCCACCCCACCCCCGCCGAGGGGCTCCCTCTCCAGAGTCCCCAGCTGGGTCCACGGAAGCTCCAGTTTTAACTTCATTAACTCATGTTTCCAGTTTTCCTTTAAAGTAGCTCATATCCTAGCCTTTCCGTCCCCATGGACACCCTACTCCTGGCTCTCGTTCCTTCACACCCACATCCACCCGCTGGCCTTGGGGGCAGCCTGCGCCTGGTCTCCTTGCTGTGATCCGCCTGGCGGGTCACCACCACCCCATGTGTGCCAGAGGACTGGCTTCCTTTGTCATAAACCCTTGCCCCCTGTAGGACTAAGTCCAGACGCTTCAGGCTGGCGTTCCACAACCATAGTATCTTCCCCACACTGCTTCCCCCGCACACTCATTCCCGCTCTGTTGCTGTCAACTTGGTCTCTCTGGTGCTCCCCAGATCGGTTCGGTCTCGCCTGCATGCCTTTGTACACGGCATTGTCATTTTCTGGAAACCCCTCTCGCCTCAGATCCTTCCATGCGTTTTCCAAAGCATAGCCTTCTTCGTCAGGTGTTCTGAAATCCTTCTAACAAGCCCTTGCTCTTCTCAGCCCCTCCTGCACGCAGACACGACTCACTTTGACCTTCCCTTGCACACTCGGTGCCCGACATCGCTGCCTGTTTGGTATTTCTCCCGAACGAAACTCTTAATTCCCCGTGGGCAAGGACAGCGGGGTGAGTCCTGTGTGACCGACAGCTTTGAGGACCGCAGGCCTCTCCCGAATGCTTTCAGCTGAAATGTAGTGCCCCTGTGTGAAGCCTGAGAGTGCTCATTTGTGTTTTCTTCTTTCCCTCCAGTCAAGTATCATCATGTGGGCAAACTGCTGAAGGAGGGGGAGGAGCCCACTGTGTACTCTGACGAGGAAGAACCAAAAGATGAGAATGCTCGGAAAAATGATTAAAGCATCCCGTGGAAGCATATCTATTTTTGTATTTTGCAGAATCATTTGTAACATTCCAGTCTGTCTTTAAAACATGGTGATTTCAATATTTCGAGCAGTTTCGAACTTGCTGTTAAGTTTTTGTAATTAACATCACTAGTGACACTGAACCAGTTAACTCTTCTGTCTTCAAGTGCATGGCGTGTTTGTGTGTCACAAATCCAGACCGTGAACTGCAGTGCTGCAATCCAAATGTTAGGACTCTCCCCTTCTGTCTGTAGTTAGTGCAGGCTGCCTTTAAATTCGTTTTTTCCTGAGCGAGACAGGTAAGACTTGGGTATTTCCCCCAAACAGGTAAAAAAAAATGTTAACTGTGCAAAGTCCTTCTAGCCCCGAGAACAAAGGATCAATTTCTAGTCTCGCTGTCCTCAAGATAGCAAATCCTTTATTTCTCAATTGACTTAACTGCATGATTTCTGTTTTACCTACCTCTAAAGCAAATCTGCAGTGTTCCAGAGCCTTCTTTGGTATTGATGAAAGAGAGCTGCCCAGTTTAAAAAAAAAAGAAAAGAAATCTCAAAGCTGGGCTCGGTTGGGAAAAGTACATTCACTGTGTTCGTAGACTGCATCATTCTTTTTGTCCTCTGGACACTCAGATGCCCCCACTAACACAGCAATATACAGTAAGACTTAAAACAGGATCTGAACATTCAAAAGAAAGCTTTGGAAGAGATCCGCTGGCTTGCCGAAAAACCGAAATGTATGAAGAAAACGTAGAACTATCTCCCCTATCCCCATGTTCACGGTGGGACAACGGTGATTTCACACAGTTTGCCGAGAGAGGGGGGGTATGCTGAACAGGAGCAGGCCTCTGCTCTCCGGAGAGCCTTCTCACACACACACACACACCCCCCAACCCCCAGGCCTCTGCTCTCCGGAGAGCCTTCTCACACACACACACACACCCCCCAACCCCCAACCCCCAGGCCTCTGCTCTCCGGAGAGCCTTCTCTCTCTCTCTCACACACACACACACACACACACACACAC